ATAAAAGTTCTCAGCTATCAGTTAGCGTACTGCCTAGCACTTACAGTAACTGTCTTTATGTTGTAAACACCACTTACAGGTTAAACTCACAGCACTTGAAAGTAAATTCGAATATCTGAACCACTTAGTCCAAGACTCCAAACAATACAACCAAAAGTGTCTAGAGACCTGAACAAAGTATATGCACAACCATATGTGTTTGTTGAACAATTCATTCCAAAACCATGGCCACTGATGTATTCTTGTAACAACCTCCACTCTTCTGGGAAGGATTTCACCAAGATAGTGGAAGGCGGCTCCAGGGATTTGCTCATTTCAGCTACAAGGGCGTTAGTGTGGTTGAACCCTGATGTGTGGTGATGCATGGCCTGGCTCACAGTCGGCATTCCAGTTCATCCCAAAGGTGCTGGATGGGGTTGAGGTCAGGGCTCTGTGCAGGCCAGTCATATTATCTCAAACTGTGGAAGCCATTTCTTTATGAACTTTTTGCATGGGAGCCCAGTCGTGTTGAAACAGGAAAGGGCCTCCATCCTATGTGAGAGTCAGCACTTACATGATATTATACAAATACACATGGAAGCCCCATTTCTGCAAAAACAAAACACAATACTCTGATATGAAAGTAGTTAATTTCCATCATATCCCATAATAGGATCAATTGAGGCGCAGACAATGTGACCGAACCCTTCTTAAAGTGATTTTACAGTCGTCCATATATTAATATATCCATAAACATTATCAGCTCCCTTCCCTTCTCCCACCATGACTCCAGCACTTCCACAAAGCTGTGTAAGTCGATCCGGCCTTTCCGACAACGAACGGTCCCATTAGCGCCAGCCATAGGCACCCATGGGAGCCAGGAGGAAAAGTGTCCCACCCCCCACTCTGCCCAGCATCATAACATTACTCATGAAACATTCACATCTTTATGTGGCCAGGATGATCACGCCAGCCTCTCATTGGCGGAGACCGGATCGGCCCAGAACAGGAGAGGAGGTTCTATTGGTGTGGTGGGAGCCAGACTGATGGCAGGACGGTGAGGAGGCTGGTGAGGAAACTGGATCGATCCATCAGCCCACATAGATGAGGGCAAGGGCAAGTGCTGCAGGATTTCAGAAGACTGCTATTCTTGTGTAGATGACAACAGTTATAGGTTGAAAGTAAATCTTGATTTGAAGTGTGAACGTATAAAAGGTTGTTTTAAAAAGTTTCTTGTCAATAGAATTAATAAGTTTATATTAGCGCTTTGGTGTTAAAGCATTGAAAAATTACATCTGAAAACGTGTCCCATTTAGTCAGGATGATCCCAAAACCCCACTGTGAACTGTTCCTGGTCCTAATGAAGTGACAAAATGTGTTTTCCCTTCTGTGATTCGGGTAAAGCGGCCATTTAAAGCATTGGAGAACATCTAGCACCTACGGCTCTCTTTCATCTGTCGAATTTTACCATTTAAGCATTAATTACGATAAAGAGATGGAATCAAGTGAAACAGTTCATTGAACCGAGGCATTAAATATGTAAATGCTGTTAAAATGTGTTCAGAACAAGCAGTGAGTAGGTGGAATATAAAAAGTGATCTCAGTGAAGTAGCAATGTGTTAGCAAGCAGTTGCTTGTTTACATAATGGAACAACATCAGCAATCGATTGGACTCATATTCTGAGGGAAACATCTGGCTCTTCAGCTGCTAAATGCTAGTCGCTAATTTTGTTAGCATCAAAATTGGCAGACTGCCTGCTAAAGCCTTTGCCCTGAAAACGTCAACCTGGTGCTGGAAATAAGTTTCATGGGAGTGAATCAAACCAGGTAAGCTGTGGGATTAAAAACCAAAATAATGAAGTTAAAGGTGCTAAACCACACCATAGAACCCAGAAGTGTTGGGTAGCAGATCATAGTGGGTTGTTCCCTACAAGTCTCCCCTTATCTCCCCTTTTTTCATTTAGTCATTTGATCCATTGTTAGTAAAAAAAAAAAAAAAAAAATTGATTTAAAGGACCTTCATCAGTGCCAGTGGTCTCCAAAGTTGTTTCATTTATCCATAACCGTTCCACAACTTTAACCGCATTTTATTATTGCAACCGTGACAAGAAAGGCTTTCTAATCTTACACATGTACTTATGTTAACCCAAACCACAATCTTTTCCCAAACCTCAGTAGTTTTTGTGCTGAAATTTAACCAAACCGTGACTGTTTCACAACCTTAAAAGTAGTAATCTCGAAGATCTTTGCTTTGTTTTCTTTGGTGACACCTATTGTGATTGGCAGTAATTGAATGTTGACAGTGTCGTATATGTGCATGTTAATTATTGTTACCAAGACATCGAAGGTCCGAACGCCTGCCTCTGGTATGCTCCAACTGGTCGGCTCCAAGGATGGGAACAAGTGATCTCGAAGGTCGATTCAGTTGGAGAACTCGTTGATTTTTAAACATGAACGAAAGCTCTTAAAAAGTCTGACATGTTAAGTTTGAACCTCTACAGTACCATGACAACTGACCAAACTCCATCTGCTGGTGAAGGCCGTGTGATGTGGTCAAAAGTGGACCTTTAGCAAACCAAATATTACAAGTGTGATCAAGATGTGTCAAAACTGCTTTAATAAATAACTGGGATGATTATTTATAACAATTAAACATCCACTAAAAGAATGGAAACTTTTTCGCTTTGTACAAAATTACCTTATGTCCCTTGAAGAATAAAATGTATACAATATGTATTATTCAGCTTTTAACACCAGCAGTGACGCATCTTTAATTCTTTATTTTGCTGTGTCCCATTTACAGAAAATACGATGGCGTTTTGAGACAATGACATGATATGAAAAGGGGTAAAACTGTCATTTTGAAATGAGTTGGTAACTTAAAAAAAAAAACTTAAAAAAAAAAAAAGAAAAAAAAAAGAAAAGAAAAAGAAATCTGCATCAGCAAATATTGTTCCCTTCATTAAAGCCTTTAAACCAAACATGAAGCTAATGCATGATGTCCACATTTGACCTACTGATATCCACATTCATGACACTCCAAAGAGTCATGGTGGACTGTTTCTTTTTTTCCATCACCTCCATCAGTGTTTTATTCCAGAAATCTCCATGATAGCAAAGTGAGACAAGGAGAGCACTTTACTCAGGCGAATAAAACACGCCACAATACACCACACAACGTTTTAAAGAGTTACTTTCCTTAATAGTGAAAACAAACCAACAACATAAAAAGATGACCGTTACACAAATAATGCATTACTTGTTACATTAAGGCACCTGAAACAAAAGGGTTTGTGATGGGTTTAGAAATGGTTTGAAGTGTTGCAGGGAAAAACTCTTTAAGGCTTTTACATCGGCAGTTTTCAACACTGCCTGTGAAGTTTTTTTAAGCAAATCCTGATCCAACCAAAACCAGGGAACTAATTAAGAGTGTGAAACAAAAAATGACTAGAGTGTAAAATGGCAAGCAATGACTGGGATCAAAAAATATTTTTTCAGATGCAGCTGTTGTGCCCTCTAAAGCAAAAACTCTGGAGCAAGTTGTACTCCTTTTTGTGATGTCTCAAAAGGCTGTTCACCATTAACTGTACAGGCAGAAGACCTACTCTGACATCACTGATTGAGGAGCCGCCATAATAGTAGCATGTACGAAGGTTTGTCAGTAGAGAGCAGTAGTTTTTGTCCTAACATGACCAAGTTTTTGTTCTGTTTTACAAGATAATTCTTAAATACCAAGAACAAATTAATTTATGTGTCCAAAAAGCATCACTGATTAACTTTACTCAAACGCACAATATATAGTAATTGCAACTGTTGATGTGAGTTTGTCACCCCAAAAAAAAACAAAAAACAAAATAAAAACAAACAAAAAAAAACACAACACAAAGGAAATGTGTCCCCATGACAAACCATTTATAAACCCTTCAGAAATTCCTTCATAGGTGGTACCTCATTGTAAAGGTTCTTAACTGTGGGACTCTGGATATGTAGTGTTATAAAACCTGCCTATTTCGACTGGCATAAATAAAAGGAATGGCATTGTAAAAAAAATAAAAATAATATTAATCATAATAATAATAATAATAATAATAATAATAATAATAATAATAATAATAATAATAAAAATGTGTGACTTGTCTTTAAGTTACTTATTTCAAATATACACAGCGACTCCTTTAGTATTTACACATATGTACAGAGTATTCATTTCTGTTTTGATCAAATACCTTGTATGGCGTTGCTGTGAAATTGAACTCTCTAAATGTACACTTATATCCCTTTGAGATTTGAGAACGAGGAGGTCAAACTGGGCAGCGCGACTTGGAGCCTTGACACGGCTCGTAGAAAGGCACTTGCTACCAACTCAAATACTGCAAAAAATCCTCAAACAGAGTTTTTCAGCCAAGACAACTGAGAGACAGGAGAAAAAAAATGGAAGGCCACATAGTAGGCACTGGGGTTTCTGTCCCCTCTCCCCCTCCAGGCCAAATGTTTTGGTAAGGCTGGCGCATGACGGCCACAGGTGGATCGGTGGGCAAAGCCGGAAAAGAGACAGCGCAAAGGGAAGGTTTCCTCTGTTGCTGTGGCTGCAACAGTCCATTCCCTAAAAACCCTTCCTTTACTGTCCCTTTAATGTGTATCTGCCCCCCACAGACACTGAACAGGAGCCCGCTGACAATTTAACAAAATCATAATCATCTGTAAACAAACAAAAAAAAAAATCTTTATACAAGTCGTTTTTTCTCCTTTTTGATGATTCATCATTTCTTGAATGGTACAATTCCATAAACAAAAATTGCAGGGAGCTTCTTTAGCCTCCTGAAAAATTGTTACATTTCAGCTCCTTCTGTACAGAATTAAAGAAAAATAAGTGAACAGAAGCAAAAAAGGATGTTCACTGTGCTCTAGCCTCCTGAATAAAAAACCATTTCAGGTGACAGTGACAAAAACATGAAAACAAAGCAAAGAATGGCTTATCAAAACACAAAGCCTTTTTTTCTTTCCAAAAGTAGTCCAAAAATAATAGCAGCTGCCTTGCAGCTTCTCTCGCTTCCACATTGCGAGTCCTTTGTTTAAATTTCTTGTACGCAGTGGTCTCTGAGGTCTTTTTGACCAGTCAAGACGGCACTGACATTTTTCCAGCGGTTGTCTTTGGGGCTGTAGCCTGGGGTCCGGTGGGGCGCTTTGAGGGGTGAACTGGAGCTGTGCAGGGTACAGATCACTCCCCCACTGGACTGCACTGCAGTCTTAGAGTACTTATAACCTGGCTGCTTCCCTGCCTCTGCTCCACCACACTCCTCGTCGAGCTCAAGCTCACCTTCCGTCTCCTCCTCCTCCTCCCCCTCATCACACGTCCGATAGGAGGGACCCATGAGCTTTTTGCGCTCCTGCTCGGCCTCCCTGTTGCTTTCTTTCAGCTGCTGCTGACGTCCCACGACAAGCGGGAGTGGCTCCCACTGGTTGTTCACGTTTTCATCTGTGGCAGATCGTGTGTTCCTCTCGCGTTCTTTTCTCCGTTTGCGCGTCCACCAAACGCATACAATGATGCAGAAGAGGCAGAGCAAGCAGAAGACCACACATAGTAAAGGCACCAGGTAATCTGTTGACATCAAGATGCACATGGAAGGAAATTAAAGACAACTATAGAGACATCAGTGGATTAATCAGGATCTAAAAGGGGCCCCATAACAAACCCTTGTGGGACACCTTTGTTAATTTATTACTCACCCACTGAGGGGGACGAGACCTGCGTTTCCACTCTGACCTCAGTGACTGCTAGCATTATAGTGCTGTTGTGCCGCCTCGACAAGGTGCCCTCTATGGCACTGGATACCTTCTGGATTAGACTGTGGTCTGGTAGATCTTCTGGCTGGAAAGACTGAGAAACAAACCACAGAACAGGGAAGAGATGAGACACAACAGCCAGGAACAAGCATTAACCTGTATCATAACCTCTGCAATGTTTAACATCTTGTTCATGGCAATGTGTCACTTCAGCTTCCAAAGTATGTGTGAATAGGTCATGTCTTAAAAGTCTAAAAAGCCAAAAGTCATCCAAAACAAAAGGGACACAAAGGAAGGGGTCAGTAGGGGTTTCGCAAAAGTGAAGAATAAGTAAGTCGAATAAAGGAATGGGTTGGCTCTTTGAGAGATCAGCTTATTCACTTTATTGTATCTTGAGAAGTGAGAATAAACCCCTGAGAATTTCAAGATATTCCTTTAACTTAATTTAGGATTGTATAGCCACTAATGACAAAATGTGTCTCTTTGACCCATACTTTTGGCAAACTGAAAAAATAAATTCAAAAATTGATTCAATACAACAGCTTGTGTGCGTATGGTTGTCTGCCTTGTACAAGTGGCCAAAGAGCAGCTCTAGTTGTTTGGGTATTTGGGTCCCAACCAACTAAATCTGTGCCAGCCAAACTGGGAATAACTAATGACCTTCGACGCTGTGCTTCATAGCTGAAATGGGGTAGTTTTAATGATGCTGCACACAGTGAGAGTATAGTGGCCACTATAACCATCCAAAGTTTGGATCATTCACTTACTATAGCCACCTCTACAGCATCCTGAGTTGAATGAGAGAGGTCACAGAGCAGGAGAAGGGCGTGGTCTTTTGCCAAGCTTCGGATGTCAGGAAGATACCTCAGCTCATAGCAAATATTCTCCACTGTTGTTCCCTGCATACGCATATAAACACACACTGATCAGCAACAATACAACAGTGCTTCTGAAACAAGAAATATTATATGTGAAGACATGACTCACTGCTGGTACTTTGTCTCTGTTGAAAACAAGTGTTATGCGGACACAGCTGTTGTCCAAATGCCCGCTGTTTGGCTGGCACTTGGTGGTTACTTGTGGAAGTGGGGGTCCAGCCATGGCGCAAACCCCCCACTGATGGCAAGGGGGGGAGAAGCAGGTGAGGTAGCTGTGCTTTAAGCACTCCCGTCCAGCCGGGCAGGAGTGCTGTCTCTGCTCCTTGCCCGATGACTGGAGCTGGCAGGGACGACGACCACACAGCACCTGGTGTCACAGGGTCAAAATATTCACCGACATGTCACCCCACAAATCACTTATATTGCTATCACCCTGCATGTTACATGCAACATTATGACCAGCAAATGTTAGCAAGTAATTTAATTTCTAATTGTAATCTAATTTAGGGCTGCAACATAAGACAAAGAAAAGCAGAAACATTTTAAAATGATTTAATTCAGCTCTAATGGCTTCAGATCTAATCTCATTAATTATTGGCACAGATTAACTGAAAACTTTATCACTTTTATAATATCAATGATTGTTAGATAGTTGTTAAATTGGTACATAAGAAAGTAGTTTATTAAATTTTGCATGTTTTTTAAATATGTAATTAAATGCTCTAAAATAGATACAAAAGGAAATTTAAATTAGCATGATGTCACCCTTTGTACTTATATCTGTGGCTATATCAGAGACCATTCAGACCACTGTATTTATCACCCTGTCTGCTGATTGCAAGTTTATGGATTTGTTTTACTCTATCTGAGCCTGGTTAATGGTTGTTTTTTCCCATACCCAGTCAAATAAAAAGAGTTTGTTTCTGAGTAGCAGACATTTAATCCCAGTGTTTAAAAAGGCCATGTTACCTTTGTACAGTCCACTTTGCCGTTGATGCAATGGCAGTTGTTGCATTCTTCCTCCCAGCGGCTGCCATGAGGAAACTGCAGGCCACCGTAGTGGCAAGTCTTCCCAATACCTATGACTACACACACACACACACAGAAAGAGACATGATGAACTGTTTTATTGATTATTGACTGAAATTAGCAGACTACAGATTTTAAAGACATAACCCACAAGATGGAGTGAATTATTGAGAGAGTATGTCTTGAATGAGTGAGGCAGAGCGCAGAGATCTATTTACATTCTTGACATCGGGTTCCTGTTCGACCGAGTGGACAGATGCATCGGAAACCGTTGATCTCGTCGATGCATGTGGCTCCGTAGGCACAGGGTGAAGACTGACATTCATTAATGTCTGTGAAGGGAAGAGAGCATCATGGTTAGCTTGGACAACAGGCGCTGGATACCAACTAGCTTTTTATTTATTGAGCCTTGATAACCACATTGTGACATGGGAACTACTCAGAGAGCTGGTTGGTGAGCTGCTGTTTCTGTCTCCTTTTACATTTTCTATTCTGGGCTGTTTATTTGCGACCAAGCTAATAAGCTAGCTTACCGACAAATACGCTCACACAGTATTTCGTAAATACATCGTATTTATATCTTAAACTTCTGTCTCGTAACTGTCTGCAAAGCATTCTTCCTCTATGGTGCAATTTACATGCTGACAGAGGAGGTATATAAGTGAGTGCTACAGCAAAGAAGCTATGCTAGCTTCCTCCATGTTGGACTCTCTGGCTTTCAGCTTCCTCAAATGTCACTGAAGTTGAACTCAAGCCTACCAATCCACAAATTGCAGTGACGTCATTGGAGGGAATTGATTTTGCTGCAAAATTTGTGCATTTTAAATACTAGTGTGACTGGGACTTCTTGTGACCCCACTGTCACAGGTTGCATAGGTTTGAGAGATATGAGCAGTTTAATCACAAATTAATGTTCACTTTTCTCAGATAGTTTCTCTTTAGTAATCTTCTAGAGTCCTGAAGTGGTAAAACTCAACAGTATTTCACAGGAAAAAGAGCAAATATGTGAAAAATCCAATAAAGGAATAAACCAAATGACCTATTTTGTCAATCAAAACAGAAATAGGAGCCAATCAAGACCAGTCTGGGGAAAATAAAAATCACAGAACCAATTCTTACATAATGTTTCATTAAAGGATGTGAAAATCTTGCACATGTTTAATTATCAACTTTCTCTTTAAAAGACATGTGCCTCCCCACCAAAATCTTTGAGGACCCGGGCCTTTGTCATCCAGATTTCACATGAACACGGTGTGGATGAGAATTCTCAAATTCAAGCCTGACAGCAAAGGTGAACGCTATCCGGCCGAAAACAAAGGAGCGGAGAAGAAGAATTTCAGGGTCACTGGGTAATTTGTCTTCAGTGTGTGTTTGTGTGACTGTGTGAGTATGGAGGAGGGACGACCTCTGACCCCTGAGGCGTTAAAGGACCAAGAAAAAGGGAGAGGGCGGCGACCTGGTCTTGCATTTAGGTGTCAATGTGTCCATCTCCTCTTTGACCCCCCCCCTCCACACACCCTTTCCTTGGGTCCTTCCTCGCTCCATCTTTCCCTCCTCTCAATCATACTAGGTGCCATGATTACGTTTTGGGTTTTGGTGAATGAAAGTGTCGTGATTTAAAATGTGAGAGCTGGGGGTTTTGCATATTTGCACTGCATCCAAAAAAGCGTGTTATATGATTAAGTAAACTTCATGTCAGTACTCACTGATTCTGCAGTCTGGTCCAGCGAAACCAGGAGCGCACTCACATCGGAACCAGTTGACTCCGTCCACACAGATACCGCCATTGTAACTGAGAAAGGAAATAAATAAATAAAACTGTTAGATGAGGCCGCACAAGAGCCACATCCATTCCAGCGGCAACAAAGCCACATCGGTTTTTTGTGTGTGTGTGTGTGTGTGTGTGTGGTGATGATGGTGGGGGTCACAAGGCTCAATTCAACTCATCAATACCAGCCTCCACCTTTCAGATGCTAATAGGCGTGTCCACTCCCTCCCCTCCCCTCCTCTCCTCTCATCATGCCTCTCTTCCAGTGCTCCTCAAAGACCAGCTCAACCCCCCCCCCCCCTCCCCCCTCCCAGGTCGCATGGGAAGAATGGACATGTAGACCCCCTCCCCTGCACTCACCATGGGGTAGGTGGGACTCTTGCTATCCAGCCCCCCCCCCCCCCCCCCCCCCCCAAAACCTCTCTCCCCACCTCTCTCTGTCCTATTCAATATACGAACCCCCTCCACTGAGAGATGCCCCTTTGAGGCTTGATTTAAGCACAACTTCCACTGCTTTTAGCGGCCCTTCACCCCTGAGGTCTGTGTGAAGTGTGGAGATGAGGGGGGCAGGAAACGATACATACCATGGATGAGGGTTGCAGTCGTTTGTATCTGTGGAAGAGAAGAAGCAAAAGACGTGAGACAGCGACAGCGACATATTTATGTGATGTTACGTCGTTTTCCCCCCCCCCACCATTCTGCGCATAAATCCAAGACAACATAGTTTCTATTTGGCTTAAAACGTCATGCAAGGGTTCTCTTTGTAGCTTTTTAATGTTTCCTCCGTGTAGCTCATCATATATGTTGCATATTTTCAGATATTCACACAGCACCAATGTAACAAAAAGACAGCTACTTTTCTAACATTTAATCTACCTTAATCATGTGGCATCTGTATAATATTGCAATTTGTATCAAGCGCATAAATTTAATTTGAAAAGCCACATCCCATTTGAGTAGCAGGAAGTAACGGCCTTCATGTCATTTATATGGGGTCTTTATAACTTACTTTACTCTTAACTGCATTACATGGGGAATCAGCCCCAACTGTGGGACTTACATTACGTTAGTTAATTGTGATACTATGACATTTAAAGCTCTTATTTATTTCCTTCAGAACATAATTCACAAAACAATTATTTCTAATGGTAGGTTGGCTTTAAAATGTATATTAAGTACATCGTAGCTGAGAGCGTTGGGATTTTTGAGTCGGTTATGTGCAAAGCGATGCAGACAAACTGACTTTGGCCACAGGTGGGGCCTTCCCAGCCCTCTTTGCAGATGCAGGTAAAGGCGTCTCCTCCTCCCACACAGGTTCCACCGTTGGAACAAGGACTGGAGGCGCATGTGCTGTTCTTGGCTGTGGAAAGAGAGGGAGGATGAGCCAAAGATCACAGAGGTGCACTCAGACTGTCAAAAAAATCTAAAGAAACAGATTATACCATGAATCAAATATGACAATCTTGTTTCTGGTTGAGATTTTTTTGCAGAAAAACACGCAACTACAACTTGGTAGGAGTTTTTCTGGCCTTAATTCGACTGAAAGATTCATGCATTTGAATAATGCCCAAGACATGAGACATCTGTTTGAATGAGTAACTGTTTCATTGGGAAAACCAATAATTGTACCAGTGGAAAGCCCCGAACCTGAATTAATCTGAAATGAGTTAAGAGCCAAATATTGTCTGGACAGTGTACTTGAAAATGCCATTAGTATTATTTTGGCTTTTAATGCAGCTTTAGCATCTATTAGCCTAAATACGGCTGGTCCCAGACTCTAAAACATCACTCATGTCTGATTTAAACAGGTTCCGTGATTAAAATAGATTCAGCTCATTGGTGGCTATTTCAGACAGCTGGAGAAACATCATGGACTAATCAGACCTTCTTTCTACAGAGCTAGCTACCTAGCTAAATTTATTTTAAAAATAGCAGAATAAACATGGTAAAAAGCATAGATGGGTTTTGAAGGAGCTGTACGAGTTTACAAAAAGCTCAACCCTTAAATCAGCAAAATGTTTCTTTGATTGTCATGGAAAATGTTTATGTGAACGCTGCCTTTGTGTCGACCGAAAATGACGCCACCAGGACTGATTTATCACTGCTATTGATGCGATTCTGGGCAATGCAAAAACAACATGGCCTCTCCTCCCAACAAGACATGAACATGAAGACGATACTGGGCTGAATAAATGAAGCTAAGTTTTTGTAATGCTAGGGATTTCTTTCTCTTTTCTCATCTAAAAAGATACTGAATATCTGAAGTATGTAAGTGACATCATCAATCACTGGCTTCCTCCGACTTTGATATACGTCAATCTGAAGATTCACCTGTGTTGCAAGTGTTTCCTCCCCACCCGGGTGGACACGCACAGCGGAAGGCGTCCCCGTGGTCGTAGCAGGTGCCTCCATTACTGCAGGTGGTTGCGTCACACTGGCTCTCGCCTGGCGGAGGAAAACACACCGAGGTCACATATGGTAAAAACACCCACACACACCCTTCCCATTTGACGGACTACTATTTGCATCAGGAAGAAAAAGGATGATTCTTGTGATCCAACACCATGCGTCAGTTGTCAAAACATACAAAGATGTATAGCACAGTGGAGTTGGGGGGTGGGGGTGGGGGTGCTTCAACATATGAACATAAACACACCCATTAACACACAGTCGACATAACTCACGGGAATGGCAGGTCTTGCCCTTCCAGTTGTCGGCGCACTCGCAGTAGAAGTCGTTCACCAGGTCGACACAGTGCCCGCCATTCTTACAGGGGTTGTGTCTGCACTCGTTGACGTCTGACAGGGAAGGAAGATTTACACGATTCGATCTTTACTGCACAGTCTTTTATTGAGTGCAAAGAAACAGAGCAGAGCAAAGCAGCAGACATGACTTTTTTTTTTTCTTTTAGTTTAGATAGCAAAGATAGGGTCAAAGTAGGAGGCGATCAAACTCACTGTGGTCACAGAGTCGACCCTCCCAGCCGTCAGGACAGAAGCACTGAAAGGAGTTCACCCCGTCGATGCAGGTCCCTCCGTTTCCACAGGGGTTGTTGATGCAGTCGTTAATGTCTGAATTAGTAAAGGGGGCAAGATTAGAGATTAGAGGGACAGAACACTTTCTGCAGGATTGTGTTGGTTCATAACACATTATTATACAGGTGTAAACAAGTATTTATCCATCCGTCAACAATAAGTCATTTGTTCATGTCTGTAATTATATGTCATTTAATATGGTTAAAGCTATGTTACAACGTCTACTTGCAAAATCATTCACATAAATGGTTTTACATTTCTTCATATGTTTATCACTTTAAACTGCTTACAACAATATTATGTTTTTAAAACCATCTATTAAAATTTAAAAATGACTATAAATTAAAAAAAAAAAAAAAGTCTCCACTTACTCTCGTGACAGTAGATGCCACTGAAACCCGGATCGCAGACGCAGGTGAAGTTGCCCACTGGCTGGCTGATGCAGCGTCCTCGCGGGCCACAGACGTTGGAGGAGATGTGCCGCACTCCGGCCGAGTCGTTGGTCGCCACAGCGACAGTGCAGATGTCAATCACTGTGAGGAAATTAAGACACGGTTGAAACCCATTGCTTGTCTTCTAATATGACAGTGGTCTCCATACTGTAAGGCTGCATACGGCTCCGGTCACCTTGACATGGGGTGGTTTGGCAGTTCTCTTTGAGCCGCTCGCAGGTTTTTCCTTCGTAGCCTTCAGGACAGGCGCAGTAGAAGTCCTGGTAGATGCTGTGACACTTGGCCTCGTTCTCGCAAGGATTCGGGTCACAAGCGTCTGAGGGGGACCAGGTAGGGATCTGTAGAAACCAAGTAGAGCTGATATAAACTAGAGGGTGCAGGCAGGAACTGTGTAGGCCACTGCTGCCCCACTAACCAAGCATCACTTTACCAAAATGCTCCTTTGGTGATTAGTAAAACAATTAAGCAAGTGAAGCCAAATGAGCATTGGAGAAAAGAGAGCTCAAGTCTGTGTAGGTGAGAGGCTTAGCTTGGCTCAAGCCAACGCCGCTGCTGCTCAGAACAAATGGAAAGGTAAGTGCACGAGCGAAGTAAGCCTCAGAAACGTTCCCTAAGCTCATCAAGGGGATCCACGCTTTTGGTTTTACATCTCTGTCCTGCTTAATCTTGAAAGATTATTCTGAGACAGACGCCTGGCAGAGGAGAGGGAAAGAGAAACTGAGCAGGCCAGAGAACGATAAGACATTCTGAGGGCAAATATTGACTCTGGTCCAACATCATGCAGAGCCACAGTGAATATAATAAAGATAAATCATCTGTCATACCAGCATGACACGGAGAGAACTGCACGAGAGGCCACAGTGACATCTTTTACCATTTCTACCTGCTGCAATATTGAGGTTGGAGTGAAAATCTCTCACTTTACGTAAACAGAAGCCTACTGGGCATAAACTCTGGGTTGCACCCCTTTGCCATTTAAGGCGCTGAACGGTGGAGTTAGAGTAGGGCAACAGGGTGCTGAAGTCTGTGGTCACACACAGTTTATTTTACCCTAAGTGTCAGGGCCAGATCCATTTTTTTCTTTACCATTTGCACGTGTGTGGTCAGGGGATCCCGTCTCAGGGCGAGTGTGTCCATAAATCTTCAGCACATTAATGTAACTGTTTGCGCTGTTCAGTGCAGCAGAGACATTTTTCCCGGCGGCAGAAAGGGTCGGGAATTTAGTTGTAGCGGAAAACCCACAAGGCAACGTTGTAGTTGTGGTCAACCACAAATAAATTGTGCAATAAAACACTTTTGATGATCGCTAGTGAAGGACGTTAACGTCTTTCACAAAACAGATATTGCAGGATATTCAAAACAAAATGCATTATTAAGTGTAAATCAATAATCGGATCCTCACAAAGGAGTTCACAGTGAATATTGGAGATCTTTGTGATACTTTGCTTTCTGTTTTATGCTTTTAAAGACTTTGAAAGCTGCTTCTAAGATGAGGTTCGAGGTTCATTCTTAACCTTGGAAACAGCAGTTGAGATCTCACCATGAGGTCCATTGAGCAGCTGTTCTGGAGCTTTTGGTTTTACCACTAAATCTTCATAATGCAAATGGAGTTTGACCACTCGACATGTAGTCCTCAGGAACTGACTCTTTAAAATGAAAAATGTGAGCATCTACATCTGCCATGACAGCTCACATTAGCTGCTGAAGATCATGCGATATGAATCAAAAGCTCCAGAAAAGCTATTCTCTCAACATATTGAAAGATTAAATGTTGCCCAGTAAACATAAAGATGGATGACCATTATGGCCATTTTTATTTTAGCGTGTTAGCATGCTAACATTTGCTGATAAGCACACAGTACAGCTGAGCCTCGTTGGAATGGCCTTAGCTTTGCAGGTTATGTGGTCGTCAAGTATTGGATAAAATTGGGACATGAATGTCTGAACCAAATTTGATGGCATTACATCCAATAATTGTCGACAGCCGCCAGATCAGCCGCCGACTGACTCTGCCATCCAAAAGTACAAATCAAATCTTTTTTAAATTGGTCTTACATGATGGCGACTAAGAGAATAAATCCTGTGGCTCTTTGTGCGGCGCCTTCTTGAGCATTTCCTCTGGGATCAAAATTGCCCTTATTTCTCCTGAAGACATGAATCAAATCGAGAACGGGCAGAGCACCATTACACAATCAAACTTTTATGCATCTAATCAGAGAAATATGATGCTGGAGGCGTGGTGGTTTTTGGCACTGCAAGGCAGGAATGTACACCGTGTCACGGCAGGCATCAGAGGTCTGTAGTATGCGGGCAGAAATCCAGCGTCACCTCATTCAAAAGAGGCTCATATTTATAGTAGAGATACTAAATCAGGATTGGCTCCTGACCAGCAATGTCCTCCATTCAGGGCCCAAGAGATGCAGTGGAGTGTCGGTTTCCTCACTGCTAACCTACTTTAGCTTCAAACACACACTTCAAATATAAAAAGGCTGCAGCAGGGACACTGATATGTAATGACTGTGTGAAATAAAAATTTAAATCACAACACAAGTTTGCAATAAAAGCTGAACTTGTCTTATTGGGTTGGGAACATACAGTATTACACAACGTTTAGGCAATCACAGTAATGATTTGGCACATCGGGGGGAGTCTGTTGGCTCAGGTCACAGTGTTGTAATGGAGATGCAGTTTGTGCATTAGCATGGCATTACAAGTCACTTTGTGTATATTTTCCAAAATCCAAATGGCTGCCAAGTTGGTATTAATATTCTTTTCACAATGTTATCATCGCCATGGCCGGCCAAGAGGTTCAACAAGGCTTTCTTTACCTTGTGCGATGTTACTGGCATGTTTTGCCACAGCAACTTATACTGATCAGTGATTGGCAGTAGAATTAAGACTTTGCTGCTTTGGGGACTTCATGCGTGTCCCTGTCCATGGGAGCTCGCTCTGCTGCACAGTGGACCATCGCCTACTTTTCTTTATCTTCTTGTCCATGCCCACGACTGTCTGATCACAAGTTGTGGACCGCTTTGCTAGTTAAGAGAGTTTGGTGAATCCCACATTGAATCCTCATATAGAAAAAAGTAAGAAAATGTGTATCAATGCAAAAGGTAACGAACAGGTAAAAACCTCAAGAAGAAAGTTCTTGCCCAGCTGTCTGTAAAGACCTGCCAGTCAAGGCGGCGCTCAGATGTCTAACACGTCCCTACTTTAATCCCATGGCCACCGCCGGCTCACACACTGTCACCGCATCAACAACTGTTTAATGCTGGGGACATGTGGAACATGACACTCACCTCACACAGCTGTCCACCAAACTCCGGTGGGCATTCACACACGAAGCTGTCCAACACTGTGTGGCACTGGCCGCCGTTCTGGCACGGCCCGCTGTCGCATTTATTCCTCTGGATCTCACAGTGGTTGCCCACGAAACCCGGAGGACACTGGCAGTGGTAACCCCTCTCGCCTTCCTGTAGAAAACCAGAAAAATGAAGAGTCAAAGGTGCAACTAACACCCGTAAATTCACCCAATTATATACAAGTTGCAAATGAAATCCTCCCTACCTTGCATGTTGCTCCATTCTGGCACTGACCATGGCAGCCACTGATTTCTGAAGAGGATACAGACATTGAACATTAAAAAAAAAAAACTAACTTTATCCATATAGGAATTAATTCACCTCATCTATTATTTTTGGTGAAATTTACAATGTAGGATGTGCACATATTAAGTCAAAGTTTGGAAAAGAAATAACTAGTGAAGCCAAGAAAGTGCCCGATAGACCTTGTAGATTGTAACTGGGCATGCAGTGGATCCAGAGGGAGGAATTGGGCATGCAAGTTGAGTCATGATTTCAGAGCTGGAGCTTCAGTTTGCCAAGACGAGAAAGGAACAAGGTTACCACATGTGGGGAAGTGACGCTAAAATACACCTAATGCTGTGTTTCCAGGAAGTGAGCGGGAGGCAGTTAAAAAAAGGAGCCAGGAGGAAGAGGACGCCAGCGGGGAGGAAAGACATTTTAAGAAAGTGACTTTGAGGAGGAAATACTGACTGATGTCACAGTTTTGTCCAAACCATCCCGGAAAACAGATGCAGTGATATCCGCCAATCAAATTTTTGCAAAAGTAAGCATGTTCACAGGGGATTTCTGCACACTCATTTGCATCTGTGGAGGAGGAGGAGGTAGAAGGAGACCCAGTCCATCAATTGAAACAAACCAAGGAAAGTACAGGGAGCAAGAACAGAGGCCAGAAATTCAGCCTTCAAAGCCTCATGAACACAACAATGAAAGAAATGGCACCAATGCAACTGAAAAAAAATCAAAAAGTTGAGCCCATGTTATGATGCACATGCTATTAAAAACCACATCTCCCTAAAACCTTACAGGTTAAAAGTGACAGAAGAAAGTCTTTTTTACTTCTATGAGTTTTTAAGTTGCATTTTAAAATGGCACTTCCCCAATTTTACACTTAACAGTTGGTTTATTTGCTCAGCCTGATGGAAGCAGTTGCACAATGTCTTCTGTGTGTCCTCGAGGAGCTTGGACAAATATGAAAATATATATCTTCATATTCACAACCTCTACCTTTATTTTGTTCATACAGTACAATATGGATGATTATTTCCTCAGTGTAGAGTAACACATAAAACTGATAATTATTTTCTTTGTGACCCTTTTTATTTTTGTTGCCATACCCATCCACAACGGCCTCTATAAAGTGTCACATGACTCATCCTAAAAAGCCTGCGAGAAACAACAGCTGACGTAAAAAATAATTCAAAAAATTCATCTGTGTGATGCGGATGAAATGAGCACAAAAGGTGCAGTTGCACTCACCAAATCTAAAGACATCAGAAGTGTGACAACAAAGAAAACCACTGCTGCTCAAATATTCAGAGGGGTGGTGGGGTGGGGGGTACTCCGCAGGGAGTCCTGCTGTGCTCACTCACACACCTGTTCTCTCTCTCTCTGAAACCCAACACCCCCACACACACACACCCACACACACCAATCGCCAGGTAAGACAGGAGGCCAATAGCTGCCCGTAAACTGAGATGCGAGCTGGTAAGATGACACTGAACTCTTGGGATCTCTTTCCGATCCTCCGACTCTGACCCCCCCCCCCCCCCCCCCCCCCCCCACCACACTCCCCAACTTTGTTTACCAGTCGTAATCCATTTCCTGGCTTCACGCCGGTCACGTCCGCCTGTCGGGATGGGCGCAATATAGAAACGAGTGCCACCGCCAGCGACGAACAAACAGCCGGATATAGAAACACTAGTAGCTCATAAAGTCATTGAGAAAAAAAAAACAAAAAATAAAAAACGCACTGAGCTGTGGGCAGCTGCTGGCTCGTTCAGGATATTGACTACTTGTACTCTGGCCATGGGGCTCGGGTTGCTGGTTGCCAATTTTAATCCCAAAATACAGTTATCCAGAGCAGCGAGTGGAAGGAAATGGCCACAGGTGCACATCTCCCTGTCTAAATGAAGGGTTGTTTGCCAAACAACAGACACACATACTAAAACAAAAGTACGATTTTCATGTGGCTGAAAACTCACCTATCTGGCAGGTCTTTCCTTCCCACTGTGGGGGGCACACACACTCGAAGCCATCCTCCCGGTCGATACAGGTTCCACCCTGAGCGCATGGACTGGACGCACAGTCGTCCAAATCTGAGAAAACACACACACACACACACACACTTCAACTCAGACATGTGCACAATGGTACATACCAGATGGTGAGAAAGCTTAGCGCAAGAGTCAGTAAATATTACTGAGGTAAATCCAGAAGGAAGCCGAAGAAGAGAGGCATGGAAGTGTGTATGAACAAAGAGGGGATAATGATTGACAGCAGTGCAGCGACTCACTGTTGGCGCAGGTCAGACCCTCCCAGCCTGGCGGACACTGGCACTCAAACCCTGTGGGAACCTCGTGGCACGTACCGCCGTTGGCGCAGGGATTGGACACACAGGCGTGTTCGGCTGATGGAAAGAAGGTGGGGGGGGGGGGTAAAACATTTATTCAGGTAGAAGTCTAAAAATGTTTTATTCATGGCAAATTTTATGATATTTTAGTCGTAATACTGGCAACATTTTCATATCAGACACACGGACTATTACTATTCATTTTCCTGCAAGCGCCACATGACGCCACAGGAATCATTGTCTTAATGAATTCAACCTGGTAGAACAAAGGGAAAGAAGCTGACAGGTACAAAGTAGAGAGAGATGATGATGTGCAGAAGAGACTGAACAAAAACACCAAGTATCCCACAGTTGAAGCACTAGAACTAGCAGTGCTAGCTCTAGTGCTCTCTCTCTCTCTCTCTCTCTCTCTCACCTATCTCGCAGGTCTTGCCAGAGTAGCCCTGCGGACAGGCGCAGTGGTACTCGTCCGGCTCGGTGTTCATGCAGGTTCCTCCGTTAACGCAAGGCTGGTGGCGTCCGCAGTAATTCAGATCTGGAGGCGACGAGGAGAGAGATGCTGAGATACTAACAGTGTATCAAGTGTCAGGACTGTGATCTCTGACCCCAAACTCAAGGATACACCCCCCCCCCCATATCTGTGCATCATGATCTGCCCTCCTACTAATACAGTGGTTATTTGTGCAACACAGTATGTTACTGATGTCTGCCCATGTGCATCTTTCTATATATAAAACACTTCTGACACTGTGATTTGAGCCTTGCTACTGTGCTGTACTGAAAACAAATTCTACCTGTTCTGGTTGTGCTCAAAGTTGGAGCTTGTCAAATTGCAGACCGTGAAATATAACGACTGAAGAAAGAAAATATACTGTTAACCCTAACTCTACCCGGATAGCTTGTTATTTTGCCATTTAATCATCTTTTGAAGAGCCATCAGTGTTCCCTGGGATAAGAAATAAAGATGAACTCATCTTTATACACTTTAAAAACCTTTGGAGCCTTAACTGTCGCTTCGCTAACTGGATCGACCCTGATAGACAGCTCTCTGCTCCTTTCACCGTTTATCCGGTTGGTGTCGGGAGTTCACTGGAAGCTTGTCAGGGTCTTCACTCAGTATAGGACACCAGCTGTCAGCCCTGACAGGAAGCAGAGGGCGTTTTCTCGACCAATCTGCTGCAGATGGTCGTGGTCGAGGTATTTCCAGGATACAGCCAGGTGGTCATCATTTAGACCACTCTCACTTTCAGTTTTTATTCAGCTGTGAGGAATTCATCCCGTTATTTCTACAAAACACCTCGTCCTCTTCATTACCTGCAGGTTTTTTTCCATGCCACGCACAAAGTAAGCTCAACTAAACCCTATTTGATCCCTGCACACCATCCCTCAGGCTAAAGGCCAGGTCACCCTAAAGGCTGGTAAATAAATGAGCAGGGATCTGTCTCCACTCGGGATCTTAGGACCCGTTCTCATCCCCTGAAGAGCCCTTGGTGACGAAGGGATGTGGGGGGATCGAGTGTCCCCGCTGCCGCTCGGATCACACAGGCAGTAAAACTATCCAGCTGCTGTTCTTCTCCTTCTGCGTCTCAGAGTCAAAATGAGGAGTGAAGACGCTTCAGGTGAAGGCAGTTTCTTTGAATTTATGAAAACTGCAAAAACACTGACTGATATTAATAAATCCTAAGTATCTCTGATGTATAAAATCAATCATTTCTTTTCAATTTCAAATTTTTACACATATTTAAATACTGTCTGTGTGTGTGTGTGTCAAGCTGACATCCAAAATATATTAAAACCATCTCCAGGTCTATAAAATGTCAAATGTTATGGAAAATATCCATTGTGATTGGTGACTACTTGAAATTGATTTCTTTGTCAGACCATTGGTCAAAAACCCAAAAAGGTTCTCAGTTTAATATCACTAAAGAAAAATAAAAGCAGCAAATTTTCACAATTGAGAAAATTGGGAAAAAAGAATTTATTGATAATCGATTAATGTTCTGGCAATTGATTACTTTACATGTCTGAGAGCGACCTTTGAGCGACAGACTCAAATTACAGACTTTAAAAACAGAATATGCCTCCGCTGCTCTTTAATGTGGTGGAAAATGGATTCGAGTTTAAAGACGCCTGAAGTTAAACTACATTCCACATTTTTAAAAACTGCACAAAACAATAGAGAACAACGCTGCATCAAAACGCCGGCTTCTTAAGCCGAAGCCAATGGCAGCATGAGCCGCATGACTGCTACAGCGTTTTGCACGGTGATATATCGCCTCTTCTCAAGTTATTTTTCTTGCATCTCTGCTCTGAGCTGCTCTGAGCAGCTTTCTTACTTGTGACTCATCAAATACAGGCAGCTGTAGCTGGAGGGGACGTGCAGGATGAAAGTGAGGAGGACTGTGCAAGCCACTTGTGTGGGAGGTGATGAAATTGCAAAACAGAAAAAAAAAAAAAAAAAAAAAAAAAAAAAACTTTTCCATACCTTTATCGCACAGCAGGCCACCCCAGTTCGTCTCACACTTGCACTGCCAGGGGAGGTTGCAGGTCCCGTGAATGCATCCAGGATAAAGCACACATTCATCACAGAATTGGCCCTGCCAGCCGTAGTTACACCTGTTAAACACAGACGCCAAAAAGAAACACCATAAATCATTTCCCCTCTTCTAATCCCTTTACCTGCTCTGAGAGGAATCCCTTCTTCTTCTTCTTTCACTGGCTGTCATTTTATTTCTTTCTCTTACATGCAGACTTGCATACACTCCTGAGCCCTCAGTGACAGACAGATGAATGTAAATGCGATGACAGTCTGATATTATTTATGTATTCATATTCATTGCAAAAGAAAATGTTTAAAGGTCTCTATTGAATACGCTTTAAAAAAGGAGCAGTTCACTTTTTCAACAGAGGATGTATTGAAAAAAAGAAAAGAAAAAAGGTCCAGTATCGACTTGCATGATGAAGATGTAAACAATAGAGGTCAATAAATGGTGATTTGTGTCGTTCTTTTTAAATCAGCAAAACATAAACAATCCTGTGTTTTTCCTGTTTTCTCAACACAGATCATCCTGTTTTTTTTTTTAATTTTTTTATTTTGAAGGTCTAAATAGCTTCGTTCAAGCTCGCCCATTCCGTGTTCGTACCACAGAACAGCGCGGTGGAATAACGGCGCAGCATTCCCGCCTTGAACAGGCTATATAAAAGGGGGCTTTAGTGGAGGGTGACATTCCAGGGCAGGAGGGGTTAAGAATACTTCCAGCCGCTTCCGTGGGTTAGAGTCCGGGGTTTGGGGGAGCAGGGTGGGTGGGTTGGTTGGTTATGTGCACACGCCTGCAGCTTCATGACAGCACCCGGCTATTCCAAGGCTGCGGTGTCGTCGAGCCAGCTGTCTTGTCAATTGACTGCTATTTTGAGGCCTCCTGCAGACGGCACCGCTGCCCCTCTCTGAGAGACGAGAGCCTTCAGAAATCTCTGCCATTCTCAGGCTGCAGGGTGGAGGGTTCAGCGGAGAATGCTTGTCATGCTTCTCCCACTGTATATGATTAGCTTCAGAGGGTCTGACAGCAGTGCAAGCGATAACACTAACAGAAACTCTTGTTACCTCCTTTTAAGCTCAAAAGGAACCAAGCTGCGGTCTAATTCTTGGCCGTATCGATATTGCAATGACTCATCAAACCTTTACATGTAGAGGCATGATGCTTCTTTCCACTTTGGATTCCTGCATCTTGGCATGTTGGCATGTCAAAAGGTGCTTACCCAAGTGATCCTTGGGACACGGCAAGCCTCTGACAAATATGCAAGAACAAGGTCTAATGTTTGCTAATAAAAAGCCTCAATGCAGAATCGGAACAACAGGCAAGTACCAGCTTTTGTGTTTCTTAAAAAAGCCAGTGGCGAATGGGGCTCAGCCCATAAAAACTGTGGGGAAATAAAGGGAATGAAAGGAGACGGTAAGGGATTTAATGCTTTCAGCTTTCTGTGAGCTGAGGCTTCACTAAATTCATGGCACTGCAGGAAGAAGTCTTCACTGTTGCTCCTCTATTCATGTCGCTTTTCCTGTTGACTGGAACTTGACATTTCATGAGAATAAGCTACTTCCCTCTGTTCTCTGTCTGCTAACTGGAATAAGGATGTCGCCTGCTGATCGAGGAAGACACTTAAAAAAAAAAAAAAAAAAAGTATGAATCAAGTTTCCTAAAACTGGTCATCCCTTGCTATTCCCTGGCTCCGAGTCAAAACCTTTTTCCCAATAACTGCAGGCAAGTGTCTCTTTGCATCCGGCAGGTGGGAGGAGGAGGGCGATGAGGGTTTTTTTTTTTTTGTTTAACACAAATGACGACGGGATGTACCACATCCTGAAAACGTGGAGAAACGGGGCCATCCCACGTCACTTTATCTTAACTCTGGTTTCCACTTTGGGAAATGTACATAACACAGTGGGATATTCATTTCCTCTCCTGCCCCCCTGCCCTTCAAGGAGGACTGCAATGCGGATGGGGAGGGGATATGACAATTCCCAGCACGTTTACAGTGGTCAAATTCACACACCGACGACTCCCTTTCTTTTCGGCCCGAGCTGATGAGATGCTTGGTATTCTGTGGAGGATTTCGGGGTGGCTAAAAATACAAGGAGGCAGGCGCGGCATTGCCCTTTTCTTCTGAACCGAGGTGGAGATGCCCATGAGGGAAGGGAAGGCTGACACAAAACACACACACACACACACACACACACACAACAGGCTCCGACAAGTGAAGGTGCCTCCGTTTGGCTCCGGAAGTTCCATCATTCTGGCTCGGATTTAGGTCTAACAAAAAACACCACTGCAGTCGCATTTTGGACTTTTCCATTACAAGCAGACCAAAAGAAAAAAAAAAAAAAAATCTAACTACATGAACAATATGATGGTGATCTAAACACAAGGCAGCGCTATTGCCCAGATAAAGGCAGAACATTAAAAGCCAAAGAGTCACATTTCTCTGTATGAAAGCCACGAAACAACCTTACCTGCATTCCCCTGGGACGGTGCAGATGCCATGTAACAGGTTGCAGCCTTGCCTGCAGATTGCTGAGAAAAAACAAAACCAAAAAGACAAATGAGAAACAATTTAAAAAAGGTTGGTTTTTAAATCCCATTGGGAGGCATGTATCTTTACATTTCTTTCTCTTATAGACGTATTATGAAGGGAGCAAGTGAAAGGAGGCAACAGCGTGGAAAGGTGGTGGGTGGGGGGGGGGCTTGTTTGTTTGCCATCTTTTCTAACAAGTGCAACAAGACGTGAGAATTCATGGCACCCTGAACAGGGTTGGGAGGAGGGGTGGGGGGGTACAACTTTATAGCCTGCATGTACAACACTGACCCCCCCCCCGCTCCCTCTTAAAAAGCAACCCTGCCCCTGTGCGCTCCCCCTCCTCTTTTCACCCTTCGTCTTCTAAGGTCAGTTGGGTGATTTATGGAGGCCCCCCACTCTCTCTAACACCACCCAAAAGCACCCCGACCCCCGACGCTGCTGCATGTTAACATCGGCAGGCTGTGTTTCCACCTCCACCATGCTTTTTAATGGGACTTGGACAATGGCTAAGGCTCAAGTTAATTTACATACAAGCTTTTAATCACATAGCTTTTAATTACAGCTAATGATCTGATCCCTTTGCACACTGCAGATTTAAAAATAGAGCTGCACCTAATGATCATTTTAATTAGATAATCTACCGATTATATTTCTAAATCGATTGCATAATCTTGTAGCGTTTAAAATGTCAAACAAATATATATAAATGACCGTCAGTTCCCAGAGCTGAAGGTGACGAGAAACTTATACAGCTCTGAAAGAGCCAGAAGCAACACTGGAATCTTTTCCTTTCCTGGACAATCACAGGACAGCTGATGATAAAGGTTCATCACGCAATTTGACGTCTTCTTATTTCCTCTGAATTCCTCGAGCCGTCCCACAATGCAGCGCTCAGATGCTCTCAAACATTTTCCACTTTGAGAAATCATAAGAATTTTTTTTTTGCGTGTACCAAAAACACGCTGCACTGAGGAAAGCCCGAGCAGATGACAGCTGTGAAGTCAGATACGTAGCAGTGATTTCAAATATTATTCGATACCAAACCAGAACGTGTTGAAAATGACGTCCCATGAATGGACCATCAGTGGGCCACACCTCTCGTACGTGAGGTGATTGATCTGCAGGTTATTTTCTCAATTAATGGACGGCAGACTGAAGATAAACATGAAACTGTCTTCATGAACCTCTAACATTACTGCAGGTACCACGACTCGGAGATTTGCCCATGACGAAGCTGGCGGACTCACCTATCCTGCAGTCTGGGCCCATCCAGCCATCTAGGCACACCTGAGCCCCCGAGGGGTCACAGCGATAGTGCCCGAAGTAGTCGTCACGAGGAACGCACAGCTTATTGCACTTGTTGCCGTAGTAGTTTTCATCACAGCGCACCCGGATACGGTACATGAGGCGAGCCACCGGCCCGTCGTGCAGGATTTTGTGCCAGGGGTCGCCGGGGTTGAGCATGCCGGTGCGAATGCTGCGTTCGATCAGCAGCTCCTCCTTATCTGAAACAAAGACAACATGAGACGAGTCAGTTGTGTGTCAAGCTGTGAATATTTTGGTGCCTCCTCTCCACTGACAGCTGCACACTGAAGACCACTGAAGAATAAAAAGACCAGTATGAATACAGTTACGGAGCAACTAAGCCTACGTACCATGAAGTTTAAACGAGACTATTCACCTCTCTCCTCTGTTTCTTCTTGCTCAGCCCAACTGAGGGTCAAAGGACAGAGTGTGTCGTACGCTGTACAGATCGTAAAGTCTCTTGAGGAATATTTGTGATATTGGTCTGTATAAATAAAACTGACTTGAATACACTGACATGTTTGAACACATGTTTATTTGCACCTAAACCTGGACTTCAGTGCAGTTTGCTGTTGCAGGATCACTGAAGGCAGATTTATATCCTCAAAAGTGCTTTTTGTTCAGTCTGAATTCTGTGAAAAGCTACAGTCTAATTCTTTCAGGGGATATGAGTGGCTTGGTTAAAAAAAAACTTTCTGCTCAGATATGGATTTCTGGTTGGACTTCTGGAGCACTGGTGGGTTTCCTGCAGTGACAACTGGAAATACTGCTGGATAAACAAGATACACTGACACTTTCTTACTAATCAACATTTGCTCTCACCATCGTTTTTTTAATCCAAGAATGAAAAGAGAAAAACAGCAACAACAAACTAAAGACCATCTTGCATCAGTGCTCATTGTTTGAAGGACATCCATCTTAATTTTGATCTCAACTACACAACTGTGAAGTTTTGTGACTGTATCTTCCAGCTGTGATGCTATCGCATTGATAACATCTGTCCACAGACATAAACACTGAGTACCTGCCTCTGGGGTAGTTCCTGCTACAGTGGGTGTCTACAGGACCACAGTTTGCCACGATGACACACACACACACACACACACACACACACACACACACACACACACACACACACAGCCTCACAAGGTGAAAACATTACCCACCATGCTGTCATGGCTGGTAATGATGACATCTACCGAGACATTTAACCACGCGACCAGCTGGCTGCCTTGGCTGTTTTCTGCCAAGTCACTCTAAATCCCACTGAACACTGTCCGTTCAGCACCAAGCAGCAGACAGACACGGTTAGAGAGCAGCTGGAGAACGTAGCGGCGCATTTAGCAGCTAAAGAGGCAGATATTTCCCTCAGGAGCCGGTGGAGACCAAAAACAGAGCTACGAGAGAGTGAATGATGAACGTGTGTTCACCAGATGGACACAAACATGACTCCAAATGAAAGTTTATGTTATTTTGTAGGTTAGTGTAGGTGCAGTAGATGAGGGTTAACTTCCAGTGTCCAAATTACCAATTTAATTGATCTGAACATGAGATAAATCAGGATCTGGATGGATTATCTCCTTGGCTAAACAAACAAACAAACAAACAAACAAAAAAAAAAAGAAAAATCACAATCTGTTCAAGAATGTGACGCTCCAAGTTATTATTTAGCTATACGCACTCAGTCCACACAGCGGCTGTTTGGCCACACAGCTCAGAAGAGCTCCAGCAGCCACGGCATTAAGTCAGGTGACAAAAATTACTTATCTGAAACACTGACACTGGACAATGATGTGAAATCTCCTTTACTCTGCTGTAAAGTCACTCCCTCACAAGGAAAAGCAGTGCATTGTTATTCAGCAGACAGACGCTTTGATATCACTTTGTGTGTGTGTGTGTGTGTGTGTGTGTGTGTGTGTGTGTGTGTGTGTATGTGTGTGTGTGTGGAAAGTACCAGCTGAATTTTAAGTATGCAATTGAAATTCATTGTCTGCAAATTGATCAATTTTCTGGTGATGGCACACATTACCAGCGCCCCTGAGCTCTCTGTGCGTGCACCGTCATGTCGGGAGGATGCTACCATTTAGCCTCTCGCACGCCAACACTTGCATTAAACACTGTTTGCCTCTGTGGGGCTCGCCGCAGCGCCAGCTCACAGAAAGAAAGCAATCTTTATCACAGTAGGATCAAAGCTGGCAAACAATCTCTGTGGAAATAGGGGGTCTGTGATTTCCTTTTCTCCATGGCTTTGGACTGCAATGCACCATAGACATTTTAAAGTGAGCAAGCACGAACACACACACAAACACACACACACACACACCCACTCACACACACACCAATTCCTCTGCTGGGGACTGACACAATGTCAGACAGAATTAAGCAACAATAACAGAAATAACCCCCGGCAGTTGCCAGATAGAGAACAATGGGCTCCGGGCCCAAGCCGAGCTCTGCTACCTCGGTGTCTAAACACTGAGCCCGGCCACCGAGTCCACTCCACTTCCTGCTCGATAAACACAAGGAAAACAGCCGGCTGCCTTTCCTGAGGACACAGGGGGAAGGGAACAGAGACACACCGGAGGACATGACGCTGGAGGTGAGGAATCTCACTGACAGACCAGAAACACTGGTCGGCTCTTACGTAGGACAAGGCACGAGGCCGGTGCTGACTCAGGTCGCAGAACAAGCTCCTGTGTCTTCCAGATACACACAGTCATGTATTTCAACATTTTATTTCACTTAGTATCTCTCTTTGTGCGTTTATTTCAATCAGTTATTCTTCCTCGTTAACCAAGTTCAACAACAAAAATCAGAGATGGTCAGAGAGGAAAAAGAGGCAGGATCAAAATGCAAAACTGACCATTCAAATCCAGTAATTTATCCAGTAATAGTTATTTGTTAAAACATGCTGTATCTATAACACTTAACAGATCGCCGTGCATTACCAGCATGGCTGCCTGGAAGGGCATGACGCAGCCTGAAGAAGCTACATGTCAGCCTCCACCTTCAGTCCATCAGACTGCAACAGGCACCGACTTTAAAACGGTTCGAACCTTTTCAAAATGTATCCATGAATCAAAAAGCACACGTACACGTTTAAAACATCCAGATGCAGCGGGATCTCAACCTGCAGGATTCTGTTTCGTCTGAGTTTAACTGAGAGAAATTGGTGGAGGTCCAGCTTTCAGTGCCACTGGATGGTGAAGTAAACACACGTCGACATATCTATGAAACAAAAACACCATGTCTGTTGACAATGTGACTGAAGGGAAGGATAAAACACCACAACTCACAGCTCCACAGACAACAGCAAAGGGGAAAATTTAGAATTTAAGCTTCTCAATCGTCTTCACCTTTGCAAAGGCATGAGCTATGAGCTGATCCAGTATTGGTCCAACTTTGTGTTGGACCTAGAAAAGGTATAAACAGGAGTTCTGAAACTGATTCAATTCAATTTCATTTGTATTACCAGAGTGAGCAAACACTTGGTGACAGGGGGAAGGAAAAACTCCCTTTTAACAGGAAGAAACCTCCAACAGAACCAGACTCGGGGACTGACAGGAGAGAAATGGGGGAGAGGAAAAAGGGGTGGGTGGGTGGGTGGGTGTCTGCCTCCTGAATCCAAACTGGGATCTCTCAGATTGATTTCATTGGTAAAACCCAGCCCTGATTTCTACTAATAAAACATTTGTGTGTCCTGATGCATCAAATAAGAATTAACGTAACGAGCACGACCTGCCCGACACACACACACACACACACACACACACACACACACACCTGCCGGGCAACGGTTTACCGTCACTGCTGTAGCTCACTGTGACCTCTCATAATGTTCGCCTGTACGAGCGGATTCCCCCGCTCATCATCCTCCACAGAGGTTGAAAGGAGCATTTGTTCCAGACCTTTGCGTTTCTTGAACCCGTGACGTTAAGGTTGAAGTCAGCTGATGCCTGTGGCCTAACAGCAGGCTCAATTCTGCTCCTTTTTAAAAAAAAAAAACAAAAAAAAAACCATGCAACACAGAACACAACAAACTTGCTTCAAAAGGTCAGTTTGATCAAATTCCAGCAGTTTGGCATCACACCGAAAAAGCTTTGCTCTTAACTCAATGAACCGAGTCCATTTGGAAGAGCTGAAAATGTGTGTCTTATGTCTTGCATCCTTACACCCAGAACACATCTATTGCTTTTCTTTACAGCCATTTGGCCGAGACTAAAGTGCTTCTCGCTGGCAGGAAATCAACTGGAGGAACAACAATATATCAACCAGAAACATCAGAACTAATTACTGTAAATGTGCACAATTACTGTAGAAACAGGAGACTACACAACAGTCTAATCAAAAGAGCTATGATGTCAAAATCTATTTCTTCTCCATTGTCTGAACGCGCGAGTGGAAATGCGTTTGATGTTATGGACAAAACAGGATGTAATGACCTCATATAAATAACGACACAAGTTTGGATTGCAGAGGGACAGACAGTATGGAATGGCGTACTAACACATCCACGCTCATGCTTGCATGCACAGAGAGGTATTTGAGACTCATGAAAAATGCCACCGTCTCCGCAGATCAAAGCTACAAACGCGCGCACACACATACACACACATACACACACATACACACACACACACACACATACACACACACACACATATTTTAGTCCTCAATGAGTCCTCTTCCTCCCAGACTCAGCTACTGCTCAGACGGGAAAAGAGAGGTTGTACAGGAGTCCACCCAGCGGACATAAGCAAAGGAAAACAGGATACAGCTGGTCAGCGCTGAGCGCCGCAGCCATCGTAGCTAAGAGGAACCGAGGCTCGCATTCTATATAGGATACGGTATACTCTACAACATATTTTCAACCTGATACCTACACTGTGTTAATGCAGAAATTCAATAAAGTTTCAATTTATGATAAAAAAATATTAAGAAACAAGAAAAGATCTGATCAGAAGGGCCCATATGCTCATGATCCAGAATTAATCTTGATTTAATGTTTCTCTAGAAAGAAATTCCTCATAATAATATGAATTTAAATTTCTTTACATACTTTCTGCAGAAATCCTATAGGCTTATTTGTTCATGAATATCGGCTGATCGGATGCAAGTCACAGCACTGAGATATACGTGTGGAGTTTAGACTTACTGCTGCGTGTGGCGTTGTCCCAGTCCCAGGCCTCTACAATCAACGTGTACGTCCGCTGGAAAAGGCAAAGACAGACAGAAAACAAACAAACAGTAAGTCATCACGTCTTTTTCACTCAGGTTCACATGTTCGATGCTGAAGAGTAACCACATCCCAATGCTGCTGTCCACATTCATTTGGCTGTGGTCTGCAGCGTCTGTGGCAATACAAAGCCATGTAGTAGGTGGTGTGAACCAACGAATGTCAATACGCTGCTGCAGTGCAGAGCTGCATGAATCCCCCCCAACAATCCCCCTCTTTAGGCATCGATGATCTCAAGTTGCATATGGTGTGAATATGTGGCCGGCAGGATATTAAGCATAAAAAATAACTTCATATTTACAACTATTACACATGCACCACACTACAACAATCGTACAGTGAGCACTGTAACTAGCAACTTCCATTCTAGCATTTCCACAATAAATTGGTATTTCCCGTGCGAACTACGTCAAACAGAAAAGGCACCATTCAAACAAAAGACAAAGGAATCCTTAGAGTGTAGAAATGTATTTCAGATTTCTCTAGTTTTTTGTAAAGACTACAAAATTCTGATTCATCTTGGCAAAAGTGATGTCTGGTGGGGCAACGCTACTACAAACATCAGCAGACACACACACACACACACACACACACACACACACACACACACACACACACACACACACACACACACACACACACACACGAGATGATGCAAAAATCGATTGCATTGCTACTACTGAGTCTTGTAACTTGGCCCCGTTACCCGGAAAGTGAGCTCGAGTTGCGCTGCTGATGAAACCCAATCGCTCAGCGATAAGAGAGAAAGATGCGCTTTAAGGACGAGGACGCCGAGAGAAGCTGCGGGACAGAGATGTGGAGAGGAAAGGATGCAAGGTGACCTGCGTGTGTGTACGCTCGCATCATGAGGTTCAACTGGACCGACACAGATACGCACAGATAGTCGCTTTGAGATTGCAAGTTGATTAAAATCAAATGATTTCATACTTGTTGTTTATCCCTCTGTGGTGTGTTAAGCTGAGCAGATACTGTGCGTTTTTATTAATCTTTGTTAACTCACACTGTACGTTTTTAATCAGCTTTGCTGCGTGGCCAGGAACCAGCGACTTTTATGCTCACACTGTACAGATCAGTCAATGTGGCTGCTCACACTGAAATTAACCCCCCCCCCCCCAGATCTGTTTTGTCCAGTAAGGTTTATTCAAACAAGATGACGGCCATGTTGACAAGACGAGAGGGAAGCCGCGTTCCTTCATGAAGTTCTACTAAGAATGTAATAAGGACGGAGAAAAGAAAAACTATGGGACTGGTCCGGTCTGTTCTGCAGCAAAACGTCAGTGTCAATAAACATGACATTTAGCTGCAACATGGAAAATACTTCATTAATGCAATTAACCAGGCGGACGCTAAAACAATCATGGTACAGGCAGATCTCTGGCCTGGATCTAAAAATCAATGACGGGCAACCAATTTGAGGTTAAAATAAACACTCACAGACACATGGTGGTTGTCACTTGAGTCAACATTTTATAAAATATGCTTGTTTACTTTCTTGCCGATGAAGATTGATGAGAAGATTGATACCACTCTCATACCTGCATGCTACATATGAAGTCAGGAGGTAGTTAGCTTAGCTTAGCTTAAGACTGGAACGACCTGGTTCTATCCAAAGTCCAAAAACAAACAAACAAAAAAAAAATGTTGGTTTTGCTGGAGGCTATGTGCAGGTAAACTCACAGTGACATAACCACAACTTGGATTCGATCTTCACATCCAACTCTCTACAAGAACTGAGCAACTGCAAATGTCCCCAAAAATCTCTCATTTCAATGTTAGCAACTGTGTAAACCTGACGCATTAACAGGGCGGTTGTTACCTGACAAGATGCTATTGTCGGCTGCAGCAGAAGGTTTTCTGTCCTGGTTCTTACTGAGACTCAGACATGATGATGGTTCCAACCACCAAACTAGACCTTCTGTTTTCTGAAGGCCCACCACTGAAACCCACTTGGATTTTCTTCCTGAGTCTCTTCTAATATAAATCAATTTCCACCAATTAAAAACTAATGTACTAAGCAAAACAAGAAATGTTAAGAAAGGACGGATGAAGCCTCAGCAGATACGATGCCCATTAAGAAGGTCACTCTACTCTGCCAACATTAGCTGTGTGACATGAACTCTGTCTGGCTTTGTCCTTGCTCGTCAGACAGCGAGGTAAATCAGTGGCTAAGGGGATTATCTGGTTTCACACCAAGTTATGCTTTGCTGTCGACCAGAACAACAGAAGCAGCGCCTTGATGAACGTGCATTACCTTGTGATGAATTGATTAGGAAATTAACCAACAACAAGGTTGATTTTCTAAAACTGCTGAAGATTTGCTGTTTCCAGTCAGATGTGAAGACTTGCTGCTTGTTTTTGTTCTACACAATTTTCAACTGAATATATTTTCTTTTGGACTCTTGGTTGAAAACGTCTACATCAAGCTCCGGTATTATCGATGAATTCACATCCCAATTTGTCAAAACCTCGGTTAACATATTGAAATGTGTTCTTTTGTGTTTTGATTGACCAAAAACCTCAAACATGAAATTTCCTCTCATATAGGACATAACGTATCAAGTATTTTTTGCCAAAAAAAAATAAAATAAATGAAAATGATCAAAAATCACTGCCAGTTAATTCTCTGAATGGACTAATCAATTAATAGCAACAATTCTTATTTATGTTGTAATATAACAAAGTATTTGAACACAACAAAATTATATTTTGCTAATATATGTTCAAATTTAATTGGCACTTTCTTTAATCTGAGTTTTTTGCAAAGCCGTACCTGGTCTGAGAAAACACACACACACACACACACACACACACACACACACACACACACAGACAGAAACTAACCAAACTAACCAGCATCACAGGAGTAATCTAGCTGGTGTGCTGCACACTGCTAGGCAACCAGCTGACCTAAATAGCATTCATTACGTCACCACCAGTGACAGTTGTAGTAGCCACAGTGTGACTGCTGTGACCTCCACTGTAAAGTCATTGATAGGATGTTGGTCTGGGAGGGTGAAAAAAAAAAAAAAAAAAAAAATTAGGCAAGTATTTGAGGGAGTTTGCAGTCGCTTGAATGAAGTGGGAGAGGGAAATGACAGGGAGGGGGGGGATTGGAAAATGTGTGTGTGTCTGTGTTGTTGATCTGGGGGACCAACAAGCTGGTAGGCTGGTTGCTGCTGGGCTGCGGGATTAAGTAGGCTTGTCTGGCTGTGGGTGGCGGCGGGAGGAAGGGGAGGGGAGTGTTATTGTGGAAGACCACGGGTGACAAGAGAAGGGGATGGAAGATGACGGGATAGGGGTGAGCTAAAGGGCTTGGGTCAGAGTTTGGACAACGGGTGGTACAGCTGTATGAGACTGTAGCTGCTGGCGAGACATGAGAGGCCAAAACTATGGCTGGGGTAGAGGAGGGGGTTGAGAGGGGAAACCTGTAAAGTAGAGAAGAGGGGTAAGGTAGAGAAGAGTGTGTGTGTGGGGGGGGGGGTTTAGGCGGAGGACGGCCGTCTACGGGGCGATGCTCGTGCTGCTGGTGCCGGAAGCTCTGCCATCCCCGTCCGACCGCAGACGCACAACAGATGCGGCCTCAAAGATGGATTATTTGACATGAACGTGGATCATCCCACGATATGTAGCTCGGCTTCTGACCTTTCCACCCGTCCCCGTCCCCCCTCCCCCCACCACAAAGGGGTGGGCTGGCTGCCCCAGTCTGAGCATGTGGGTGGGTGGTGGTGTGTATGCCAATGCGTACAAGAGGAACGACGAGTGGCAGCGCATGCATTAGTGACTGGAGATCTTGATCTTAGGACGATTCCCGTCTGCATGGTGAGATCGTGAGGCTACGCAAGCGGCGCAGACAAAATCTCATCAAAAGGCCAAAGACAGAACAGTTGGCCGTGTTGTGACCTGCACCTTTTGGGTTTACCCAGAAGCCGGGCGTGCTCGCATGCCTACATGTTGTAAATGTTTGGTTAAATAGTCCCCTGAGTCATTGTGTGTTGGGCTCGAGCAAAGCCACGGACTAGTCTGGTTTCCCACAGACCATCCCAGTCTGTGATTAGCTGGATTAAATGACAGCTGCCCAAATGGTTGGAACAAGATAGATGGATGGGCAAGGGGGGGATAAAGGGGAGGATTGGGGGGAGGGAGGGGCTACTGAACAAAGACCCTTGTCCCAACACCGTAACTCACCCCCAATCCCAATCAAAACCATTGTCCATGAAGAGACACAGTCAGCACGAGCACAATTAGCGTCAGCATGTGTGCTACCGAGCCTGGGCAGGACAGTTACATGGCAGAAGTTAAAAAACAAAAAAAACAAAAACAAAACAAAACAAAAACAAAAGCAGAAAGTGGTTCTCATACGAGTCCAACCTATAATACAAATAGATAACTTTATTAACCTGCCCTTTGTCTCAGCTCAAAACACACACGTCAACAACATTTGACAATGCGAGATACTTCAGAGACTACGAAGAATCCTCCGTCAGTCAAATCTCCAAAACCCAACCTGGCCCTTCCCCTAATGGATTAGAGGATTTACCAAGAGAAATCCTAGTTTTCAAGTCAAGAAGGGGGGGGCACGGTGGAGAAAAAAAAAAAAAAAAAAGGATGTTTATGTGTCATGCACTCAGTGAATCTGTGTCTGCTTGAAATGATGTAACACTCAAGTGCCATTTTTGCATCACATGGCACAAAAATGCGCCAAACATCATCTCTTTTATTGAATCCAGGTAAAGTCGATTCAGGCATCACAAAAAAGGGCCAATCCTGTGAGGGCAGAGGAAGAGATGGTGATGGTAATGTCTGGGGAGAGCCACAGGTGTAGGTTCCCACGCCAGATGAAGGGTGGATGAGTGAGCGGAAGGTGGCCATTGAAATGAAAAGCGACGGGGGGAAAAAAACGGGGAGAGGTGGCAGTGGGAAGTGGAAGCCAGGGCAAGGCTGGGGTCACTAAGC